TGATCCGCGGGCCCCATAGGGAGGGGGCTCCCGCTTGAGACTTCCTCGCAATTCACTCACACATGCGGCCTGGGATTAGCGTTCTCGCAACGCGAGAGCCCAAAAGTGAAGACAGTTACAGGAATTGGATGACCCGCTCGGATTAGTAACATTATGATCCGCGGGACGCACAGGGAGGGGGCTCCCGCTTGAGACTTCCTCGCAATTCACTCACAGACGAGGCCCAAGGCGAGTGAGTGAGTGAGTGAGTGATTGACTGGTGATGATGATGATCATCACACTCTCTCACGCGCACACTCATCATCATCATATGTGAGTGCTGACGAGTCAGTGAGTGAGTGAGTGAGTGAGTGTGTGTGTGTGAGGGATGATGAGTGAGTGAGTGAGTGAGGAATGAACAATGATGATGATGGTGGGTTCCTGTTCCTGCGCGGGGTGTCCAGAGAAAACAAGAACCCCACTTTGGATGTGGGGAACAAGAAGCCCACTTTGGATGTGGGGAAAAACATACGGTTTCTTGATGAGCGCCCCCACTGTACTCAATCGTCCAATGTGCCCTGAAGTTTTTTCCCGTGAGCAATAACACAACCCAGGTGGTAAAGAGGGGAGGTGCCGTGACTGGGAAGGTGGACGTAGTGGCAGACCACAGGAGAGGAAGGTGAGGTGTAACGCGTGCGTGCCTGCCTATGTTGCTGCTCGCATTCAGGCGCACGGTGTCTCATGCTGGCGCGTCGTGCGTAACGGCGACTCGTATCAGCCCAACCCCATGCCCATTTGTTGAAGTCTATCCTTCCCACCCCGTGGCTCCCCACCAGCGTGCTGTCCACCAACCTGGCTGGCGCATGGATCGGGCCCGGTCCCCGCTCGCTCATTCAGGTTTTACAATTTGTCGCTGCTGATGGTCGCTGGCCTCCGGCTCGTTGCTGCCGCTTGCGCGCCGGCGCAGCACCAAGATACTCTATGGCTGGCGACCCCACGTTGGCGCCCACGGCTTCACGGATCAATCAGTGCGGTCGGAAGCTCAGCATTGGCCGGTGTCGCTGGCACTTCCAGCCACCTGCTCATGCTTTCTTGCGTTCCTTGTCAACCTGCAGCTCACTTACCACTGCTTTCCGCGTGCGTCGGCACCGCCGACTTTCTGCTGTCCAGGATCTTGTTGATGCTCTTGCGTATTGCCTGTCCGTTCTCGCCAGCCTGTCTGGTCCTCCTGTCGCGTCACCTTTCGGCATGCCAACTGGTCGCAACCTTTTCTCCGTCCCTCCCTCCCCAGCTTGGCGCTGTCCGTCTGTATTCCCTCCACATGCTTGGCGCGCCGAGAGGAAAAGTGGGTCTGTGTATGTGTGATTCGACTCCCAATGAGAGCACAACAGCAGTGAAAACCAACATGCTAGCGCCAGTCAGCCGTGCAGATGCGTGGTCGCGCTGTCTTTTTTCATGGCGAACCAACAACACACACCCATACCCACAGGGGGGTCAGAGAGGCCTATGGGTGCGTGTTGTCGAATGGGGGTCCCCGCTCGAACGGGAGCGTTCCCCAGGGTCCGACAACCCGCACCCATACCCATAGCCAGTCCTCCTCCCAACAACCCCCCTATGGGTATGGGTGTGTGTTGTTCGTTGGTGATTTCAACATGGAATACCATGGAATATCAGACACGAGCCACTGAACGTTTTGTTGACAAAAGGAAAGAGCGCATCCTGTGGACACTTGGAACGGAGAGGGGTTCGAACCGGGGCTCCACCCTCTTTCCCTGAATTGTAAGGGGGTGACGGGTCCGAACCCCCCCTCCTCCGAGGGAGGATTCGAAAGCCTGCTCCCCCTGCCGACTCGCTGGTGGCAGAGAACGACGGCGGGCGCCGACGCCGGCGCTAGCGCCGACGACGACGACGATCTCGACGACGGCGACGACGACGACAACGACGATGACGGACGACGACGGAGAATGACAGGGACGACGACAATGGACGACGACGAGGAAGACGACGACGACGCCGACGACGACGATGATGATGATGGTGATCCTGCTTACGATTGCGATAACGATTACGCCGCTGCTGACCATAGCGAGGCTAAGGTTGGATATGGTATTGATGATGACGACAACGAGGGAGGGAGATCACGATGATGATGATGACTATGACGGTGATGATGATGATGACGATGGCGATCATGATAATGATGCTGTTCATGACGATAGGACGATGACGCCGGCGATGATGAAGATGGTTATGATGATGATGGTAAGGGTAACAGCTGTGATGATGACGGTGGTGATAACGACAAAGATGATTACGATGACGATGGTGATGATAAGTACGGTAAAGACGAGGACGACGGGGAGAATGATGGTATCGATGCCGATGACGATGGCGATAGTGAGATTGATGATAGTAATGTTGGAAGCGGTACTGTTGATCATGATGGTGGTGGTGGTGATGATGGAGATGATGATGGTAATGATGATAGGAATGGTGATGGCGAAAGTGATAACAATGATGATAACGACGACAACGACGATGGCGATGATGATGACAATGGTGTTGATGATGATGATGGTGGTGGTGGTTGTGCTGATGTTGATTGTGGGGATGCGGTCGATGATGATGCTAACGGTGATCGGGGGAAGGTGACAATGAGGAAGATGAAGATGATGATGAGGATGGTAATGATGATGCCGATGATGATGGTGGTGATGATGATTATGATGCTGAAGGTGGTGTTAACGATGATCCGACCCGTCCCGTCCATCAGGGTGCGTCCGCCCGACCCGACTGGCCCGTTAGTGCTCTCGCAAGCCAACTCGGTCATGCACCTTACTTTCACGTATCGCCAGCCCGACACGATGACTCCGATGGTAACTGTGGTGACTGACGAAGTGTGTAGTGATGAGAATGACGGTGGCAAGGGTGAGAATAGCGATGATGGATATGTGAACGCTGACGCTGGTGATCGTCATGGTAATGATGATGCTGTCGATGGTGCTGGTGATGGTACTGATGCCGGTGATGAGGAAGATCCTGCTAAAGATGAGGATGCATAGGATGAATATGCTGATGGTGGTGACTATGACGAGGGTAGTGTTGCTTAGGATGCTGATGATGGTGATGATGCTGACCAGAATGCGGACGAGGACGATGATGATTGTGATGGTCGTCATGATGATGGTGATGATGGTGGTGATGATGATGATGATGATGATTACGATGATGATGACGATGATGATGATGCTGAAGATGCTGATGATGATGATGATGATGATTTAAAAAAAGAATGATGATACTGATGATGATGATGATGATGATGATGATGATGGTGATGGTGATGGTGATGGTGATGATGATGATGATGACCGAGCTCGGACCGAGCACCGCGCGCGTCCACTGAGCGAAAAGAGCGACGAGGCGGCCCAACGACCAGACCAGAATTGGGGCCAGGGCGTCCTCTCCGCGCCCCAGGGGAGGCGGCAGTACACATTACTGGCACGCAAACTGGCCACGCGAGCATTAGCCATGCCAGAGCTGCACCGCCGACGACGATGGCACGATGGACAGGCATCGCAACATTACGATCGGCGGGATGAAAGCCCCGCGCAGGAACCGACCGCCAGCTGTTCGGCTGATGATGGAGGTCGCGCGGGTCCAATGGAAGCAAAAGGACGCCACGTGTCGCGCATTGCGACGATGATGGTGGTAATGATAAGGGCGACGACGCCGACGACGAATACGACGACGACGATGACTGTGATGATGGTGATGATGATAATGATGACAATGAAGCTGATGGTGAGGATGAGGATGAGGATGAGGATGATGATGATGACGATGATGATGATGATGGCGGTGGTGATGATAATGGCGGTGGTGATAACGATGATCATGACGACGATGATGATGTTGGGGATGACAATGATACTGATTATGATGTTGGGGGTGACGATGATGATGACGATGGTGGTGATGATGATGATGGTGATGATGATGATGAGGAGGAGGAGGATAATGACGATGATGATGAGGAGGAGGATGAAGAAGAAGAAGATGAAGATGAAGATGAAGATGAAGATGATGATGATGATGATGATGATGATGATGATGATGATTATGATGATGATGCTGATGATGATGGTGATGATGATGCTGCTGATGATGATGCTGATGATGCTGATGATGGTGAATATGGTGATCGGGAACTCCGTCGGCCCCAAAGTCCGCCAGGTGAGCCCGCCCATCCACGGCCGAGTGGGACCCTTCCATGCCACGCACGCAAGCCCGCGCGGCTCGAAACAAACTGCCTGCCCGAGTCCACGGCCCACGCGGAGGCGATGCCGGCCAGCACAGGCGAAGGAGAAACTATTACCAGCCTGGAACATATCCCTATCCCAATGCTGGGCACCTCCTCATCACGATGCCAATCTAAGGTATTCCTTTATTTTTTGAGGGCGAATCCCTAAGATTGTCATCGCCTTTTGGCGTGCCGATCTTAGGGATAGGGATACGTTCGAGGCTGGTAACATACGGCAAGCACGAAGCCTCGTGCCAGCGCGCAGGCGCGGAGGCCGACGCACGCACGTTGGCGGGCTGCCACGCGGCCTGCTGGTGGGAAACCGCTGCACCGGTGCGCGCGGGACGCAGCAGAGAAAGCCCCCAGGTCAGCAGCAGGCCCACTCTTCGGTTCATGGGGAGCAGGTAGGTAAGCTGCTCGTTCTGAGGACCTTCCTGGAGCCACTCGCTCCACTCGTGCGTCGAAGGTGCGTCGAACCCGAGTCGAACCTGAATCGAACCTGAGACGAGCCTGAGTTGAACCCGAGTCGAACCTGAGTCGAGCCTGAGTCGAGCCTGAGTCGAACCTGAGTCGAACCTGAGTCGAACCTGAATCGAACCTGAGTCGAACTTGAGCCGAACAGATCCGTTAGAATGAATGGCCCAGAGAGGCCCCTGAAACGAGCACCGAAAGCAGGGGGGCGCTCCCTTCTCCGCGGCTGCCAGTGCAGCTCTGGCCCCCCCGACCCCCTGCCACCAGTAAGCCTGGTCTGCCGCTCCTGGGGAGCAGCGGGACGCTCCTGTCTCCGCGGCTGCCGATGCAGCTCTGCGCTTCGTGGGTGGGGGCGGGGCGCGGTGCGGCCGCCGCGACACAGGCAGGCAAGCGCGCCGCTGAGGCTCAAACTCAAAAACCAGGGGGAACCCGACGCAGAAGCAGCCCACGCGGAGGCAGGCGACCCCCACTCGCAGCAACTCCGCCACCGCCCAGGGCAGGAGGCCAGCTGGCCATGCCGCATGACGAGGGCGGCACAGCAGAAGCCTGGCCAGGGCCAGGACGAGGACGGCACGAAAGGCCGTCACGACGGCGTAGCAAACCAGCGCCACGGCAAGCAGTAGACCGTGCCAGCCCGTGCGGATCACCATGCTGATGACGCTGACGCCAAAGACTATGAGATTGCCGACGATGCAGGCCGAGCAGGCCAACTACTTTCCCGCTTCAGCGGCCCACAGGAGCATGAGGACGGTGCCGATACCCTTGACCAGCATGGGCGCGCATTCCATGCCGCACACCACGGCCACGTGGAGAAACCTCCAGAAGCCCGCGAAGACGGAAGGAACAACGCCACACACCAAGAACATCCCCCGCCGGCACGCGACGAAGAGCATACCGTAGCCCGTGCCCAGCTCGAGCGCGCAGCCGATGCTGTGGTGCACCACGCGCGCGCAGTCCATGCCGAACTCCGCGTCGACGTGCCTCCACCTCCCAGCGATGGAGGAGACGCCGCGCAGCACGAAGAGCACACAGCGCCGGCACATACGAGAAGACCTGCAGCCGCCAGCGCCCAGCCCGCGGACGCCGGGCAGCCCACAGAGGAAGCAGACGAGCTGAAGGCCGATGTGCACCACCGCCACAATCCTGTTCGAGATGCTGCGCCTCCGCGCACTCGCCTGCCCGCGCGCCCAGCTACCGCAGCAGCCCAGCGGACACCTGGTGCGGCCATGCGCGCGCGGGCTCGCCGAAGACACGACCTGCACGGCGTCCGCGGAGCCGTCGGCCAGGCCCGGCGAGAAGCGGGGCAGCGCAGGCGGCCGCTCGCCAGCAGCCTCCACGACAACCGTCGCGTAGTCCACCACGGCGAGCGGCGCCAGCAGCCTTCGCAGAGCCAGTGTTTGCTGCTGGACGTGGCGGATCGCCACGCGGGGCGCAAGCGCACGACGACCTGCCGCAGCAGTAGGCACCATCACACCAGGAGGTCGACGACTGCGGGGTGCTGGGGGCGGGAAAGAGGCGGCACAAACGCGAAGGCCATACTTTGAGCCAGCCCCTATGATGGTGGTGGTAGTGATGGTGATGATGACAATGGTGGTGGTGCTGATGCTGATGATGGGATGATGGTGGTGATGCTGATAATGATGATAGTGATGATGCTGCTGATGATGATGACGAAGACGATGACGACGATGGTGATGATGATTATGATGATGATGATGGTGGTGGTGATGATGATGTTGATGATAGTGATGGTGCTGGTGGTGCTGCTGCTGCTGATGATGAGGGTGCGGGATGATGATACTGAGGACGTGGGTGATGATGATAGTGGTGATGATGACGAGAAGGATGAGGATGTGGACATGATGCCGATGATGATGATGATGGTGGTGATGATGATGATTGTGATGATGATGATGATGGTGGTGATGATGATGATGATGATGATGATGATGATGATGATGATGATGATGATGATGATGATGATGATGATGATGATGATGACAATGACGATGTTAACAATGATGATGGTGATAATGATGATGATGAGGAGGAGGAGGAGGAGGACGAGCAGGATGATGAGGATGAGAGTGAGGAGGATAGTTTGCTGGCGGCGAGGGGGGGGGAAATCGACCCCCCGTCTTGTGCCGGCGCCCGCGCCCGCGCTGGGAGCGCCGCCGTCGCCGCCAGGTTTGTCGCCGTCGGCGTCGTCGCCGTCCTGTCGTCGTCCTCGTCGTCGTCGTCGGCGTCGTCGTCGTCAGCGTCGTCGTCGTCGCCGTCGTCGGCGTCGTCGTCTCGTGTTTCCCTCCTCTCCGTTTGCAATTGTGCTCTGTGGGGCGCGGCACGCCACCAGCTTGGGCAGCTCGTGAGCCGCGCACTCCACTCCGGCGTGCAGAGAGGAGAGAAAAAAGAGGAAATGGAGGAGCGAGGAGCAGGAAGGGGCGCAGAAAGAGGAGCAAACAAATCGAGCCGGTGAGCAACGACGAATGAATCCGCCCATATCCAGCAACAGCGCTAAAACAACAGCGCTCACTGCGGATAAGCACGGGGCCAGACAAACTCAATGTATGATCCCGCCCCGTCCTTTCACTGAATGAAGCGGCGCCCACCTGCACGGCACAGCCGACTGCGATGCAAACGTGAGCGCATGTGCTTACCGCTAGGGCTGGCGGTGACAACAATTTTCCGAGCTATGTATTCTTCCGCTATGGCTTGCCATCCTCCGTTCATAATGCCTGGCGAAAGACTCAAACACCACCTGTACTTTGTGTCCTCCTCCACCACCATATGAGCAAAAACCTACATGACGTCAAGTCTTGGTATACCAATGCTCATACGAGACGACATCGCTGGGGCCATGGACTTGCTTCAGACGGCCATCAATCACGCCAAGACCGAGGCAACAACCCTGAATACTGTTTTGCAGCATTGAGGAATGGATGATGAAGTGCTCCCTTTCAGCCGAAATGAGCCACAGACGAAGTCTAGGCTCAACAGGACACCGCGCTCTTGCTTCACCCAGAAGCTCTCTAATAACAGTGACAAAGTGTTGTAGAATGCCCTAACCCACAAGTGTACAGACCGACGCCTGAGAACAGCAGCATGCTCTCACGGATGGACCAGTCAACCTCCGCCGTCAGGATGATGCTGCGGAAGGCTCAGCTCACAGCCTGGCCCATCCACATTCCATTGTCCTCTCATGTTTGCCTCTTTGTATGGCTTGTCTCCCCTCAACAGGTCGTCGACGCAAAGTATCGACAACGAAAGAGGCGAAAGCTGACTCGCCAGGAAGCAATGCATCCCTGCGCACTCAAAACAAATCTCAGACATATAATTGTAAATGCCACCTGGCGACACGTCTTGATTCTACCCCTTGGCGGTGATAACCTTAGTCAGTTGGACAAGACCACTTTCACTAGACATTGTCGATTGTACCGGGCAGTATCACCAATAGCCATGGTCAATCAATGCACCGTTTACGACGCGTGCCTACTATCACGTTTTGCATGGCGATCACTGCACGTGATCCTTCCTGCCACCACCTGCACCTCGCTGCCAGTATCATGGCGACCTACGCACGCGCAGAAACGATTATGTAAGCACGAAGTGCTAGTCTGACAACTAAATCTTACCCCCCGCAACAATCCACGAACCCGGCCCACCATGTGACAGTCTGTGTGGAACAACAGATGGCAAGTGCCTATGAACTCCCTGGGCGCTCCGTCTCCGACTCCACCCGACAACCGCTTCTGAAACTGAATGACACGCGCTTGGCGTGGATATCCTCAACGCCAAATGCCTCAATGAGAGTTGGAAGTAGACCACGATGACGTGCCAGTATTCTGTCGCTTTGTGCGCTAAGAACTCCTGATCGCGCGCAAACGGTAACACGTACGTTTGAGGCATGCGCAACCGCATATATGCCAAAACGAAGAGAAGCGTTGCGCCCTTCGTTGGCAGCCTCGGCGCACACAGCAGCGACGCCAATTCTGACAACCATCATCCAGTCTGAGTTCATGGACGGGCCCCTACGGTTCGAAAGACGGCCCCTGAGAGCGGTTGAATGCCCGAACACATCGATGCCCCAACAAAACGCGTGCCATACACAGGCATAACCTTCCGCCACGTATTGGCCATTGCCCTAAAAAGCTCCGAGACCGTGTTTACACCGTGGTCATTGTGAAGTGCCTCGGGGCCAAGTGTCCTTGCGGAACTTTATTCCTCCGCGGAGTCCTTCTCCTCCTCAGCTTTCCTCACTCCACGGGAAGGAGCTCAACAAGCAGGCACACAGAACTGACTAGCTTGGCGAGGGAACACAAAGATACGCAGCTGCGCGGATAGCGGGGCGGGGACCCATCCTCGTGCACGGCCCGCCGCGGGAGGAACGGAGCTCAGGGCGGTGCGGATGGAGGGCAGTGAGGCAGAAGCGCGCTGGGATCCCAATGGGGGCACGATCTGCGTGAAGGGCACACCGACGTGGGCGCGGGCGCCCGCATGGTGACGCGCGCACTGGGGGCGTACGTCGTCCCACTGGGGGTCTGGCCCGTGTGAGGGCTGTGCCGATTGGGCGCAGGTCTTGGCCACTAATCAGGGCCGTAGGCGGACCTCGCTGTGGGGCACCATCCGTGCAAGGGGCGTGTCGAACCCGGCGCGGGCCCGCATGCGGACTTGGCCACTGATGCCGTATATAAAGGGAAATTAGGACACACAAATAAATACACACAAATAAAAATAGTCCCCATATTTTCCCATATTTTCTGGGTTTTTGTCTTCCCCCCACTTCCCATATTTTTGCATATTTTCCTGGGAGTCGACGATTCATTGTGTCTGTGTGTTTCTTTCCCTCCTGAGTATAGGCGGAGCTCCGCGTGGGGGACGAGCCGCACGCGGAGTGCACCGGGACGGGCAGGTGGACGGCGCAGGGAGCGACCCAGCAGCATGCGGCAGCATGCAGCAGCATGCAGCAGCACGACGGGCCTGCTTTCCACCACCACCACCATAAGTTGGAGGGGGGAAGGAGGTGGAGGATGAGGAGGAGGAAGAGGAGAAGGAGGAGGAGGACGAGGAGGACCCCCTCCCGCTCCCACTTATGGTGGTGGTGGTGGTGGTGGAAAACAAGCCCATCACAGTATGCAGCAGCATGCAGCAGCACGCAGCAGCAGCAGCTGATCAGCAGCAGCAGCAGATCATCAGCAGCAGCATGCAGCAGCATGCAGCAGCATGCAGCAGCATGCAGCAGCAGCAGCACGTTGCGGCACGCAGCGCAGCGGCGGCGACAGGAGGGCGAGGAGGCGGCGCAGCAGAGCGAGGCGAGGCGCAGGCGAGGCGCTGGCTCTGCGCCCAGCGCCGCTCGCCGGCCGGCCGGGACGACCCAGCTCCTGCCGCTGGCCTCTGCAGCCGAGGCTGCCGCCGCGGGCCCGCGCGCCCCGAAGGGCCGCGCCCGGAAGCGCCCCCCTCCGCGTGGCAGCGGCGGGTCGGGTGCTGCTAGAAGTGCACCTGGTCCATGGCGTGCCCCCAGCTTCTCGCTCCATTTGGGAGCCCTGGAGGTCCCCTGGGCCTCGTGAGGGGTGCTCTGGAGGCCGTCTGAGCTGCCCCGAGAATCCTGGGGGGCACCTTGGCCCAGGGGCACCTCTAGCAACACCCGAGCGGGAGGGCACGGGGAGAAGCACAGAAGAGCGAGGCGGCCGGGCAGAGGGAGGGGAGGGAGGGACGGCACGCGGTGCGGCGGCGGGTTCGAAAACGGGGGCCCGCGTCCACACGAGGAGCCACCAACCCAGGAGGGCTGGGAGCAAAAGCAGCAGGAACGGAGAGGAGCGGGGGGGGGGAAGGGAAAGGGAAGCAGGAGGAGACGCCTGGCGCAGCGGATTCAGAACGATGACCCAACTGGGGCTGCGAGGCCAGACCACCCTCTCCGTCCCAGCGCAGCGCCGCCGATTGTCGGACTCCGTTTCCCTCCTCTGCTCCCCTCCCCCTCTCTTCGTCAGGTCCACTCATCATCTAGCCTGCGCTTTGCCATTCGCTCCTGCACTCCATCCCCCCATCACCTCTCCTGTCCAACCGTCTCCTTTCTCGGTGACGCCATTGCCACCTGACGACGGCGCTGGAAGTGTATCAAAAGTCTGGTTAGTGCGCGACTGTTACTCCAACTACTTCTACAGGCGAACACGTGTGAACCCTACCCCCGCAGTTCCGAGTTCTGAAGCATCAGCGCAGGCCAACTTGATGAAGGATGTCTGCAGCCAGATGACTTTCCGCGGGGATGTCCGATACCCAATAAACGAGTGGACCAACAGGGGTATGGTTCGCAGGCGGGCGCACATCCTAAGGCAACGGAAGGTTGGCACCGCTCCCCCAGAGAACGCGTACGATTTCCCCCTCTCCATCCGATCTCGCTCTTGGAAACGCACTGGCTGCCGACGTTATCGTCCTCGTCCTCTCGCGCGCGCCGCACCCGATGCCTTGCCATCTGCCTCCTCCCCATCCTCCGCCTCGTCCTCCTCCCGCTGTCAATCCTGCTACCCTGCTACTCCTCCTCCTCATCCTCCT